ATAATAAAAGAATAGTTATTATATATATATATATATATATATATATATATGTCTTAATTTTTACTACAGTTTATCAAAATAAATTAACTTCTGTTTTCCTGGCAGATATCAAATAACCACTGGTTATAGTTCTAATATTCTAACTTCATAATTAGTTAGCTTTGAAGGAAATGTAATGTATAAGAAATCTATTATACAAACAACAAACTTAGCAAAAGTAAAAAAAAAAACCTAAAAATCTGAATGTTATGAATATTGTTTCTTATCATATTAATATGAAACACGTGAGTTGGTTCAGAAATGTTGGACGTGTCAATTACTCTAGATTAATTATCAGATCAGAGAATTTGGAGTATATCTTCTCTCATTATGAAAAACAGAAGATAAAGTAGAATAATGATACAAAAATACAAGTTTCTCTTCCTAGGAAATAGAAGCTGTTAAAAAACAACTGGAGCAGCTAAAGGAGGAGTTGCAGTGTATTAGAAAGGAAAATCAAAAACTAACTGAAGATAATACTCGTATCCAATTCGAACAAGAGGCAAGAAAACAGAATTTAAATTTGGAAATTGAGAAGGTGAGTGTGATTGTTGTTATAAAACATGTAAGTTATGTAAGCTGTTGAGTAATTGTTTGTTTCCAGTAGTTGAATCCCATTTGAGTACAAATATAAAAATTGAATAACAGATTTCTGTTTCGTAATCATATTTTACTCTGCCTAATAATACTTGCATTATTTCTAAGTAAGTTATTTCAAAAAATATTTCCTGGACTTCTTGTGTTAATTTTGCCATCAGTGCTGAGGAAAGGCTAGAAAATCCATTCAAAGCATTGCTAAATTAATCCATTCTTTAATTTTTTCAATATTTTTTATTGGGTTTATAACAAAAAATCTCAGCATAAAAGTGGATAGAGAAACAATGTTGTGTGACATGGATAAGTTTTAAATTGTGGAATGGAAGAAACAAATACACCTGTTGTAAACAGTTCATGAACAGCTTTAGTTATTTAAAAGGTGGTTACACATTGCAGTTAATCTTGTATGTGTAGTTGATGTTTGGGGAATAAATCAGAAAGTACCCTAACGAGTTTACAGACATGTTTAATAATAAATATGACATGATGAGGAAGAGCAAATATGGCGAAAATATATATATATATATATATATATATATATATATATATATATATACACACAAGTAAAGTTTAAGTTTAGTTTACGTTTAGTAACTAATAGTACTTAGTAAGTTAAAAGTTAAAGTAAAGTTAGTCGTAGTACGT